GAAAAAGGGGTGTAACTTACAATACCATTTTTTATGGATGACATTAAATATGTTCACACTGTGTGTGGGTTTGTCAATCCTGCAAGGCAAATATAGATATAGTAGGATTCCGGTATAACATTTGTTGTTAAGGTCAGAACCATTTTATAACAAAAGAATACAACAGTTGACAGTGGTATGCAGCATTAGTCACCTCTATATTTCTTAATTGCTTTTTCGTTTTATTGTCACAAGGCGTTGACAAGACAAAAATGCTTGCCTCTTTAAATTGTTTTTTTCTTAACCCAGAAACATATATGCACTCCACATTCATTACATGAGTCTGTTTGAGTTCATGCATTTATAGATGAAAAGGAGGATATCTAGATGACTGGAACTTTCCTGTGGCTCGTGTTTTCTTTTTTGGTCTTCAGTAGCTGTCTGTGTTCATGTGATCCTCTCAGTTTCGTTGACCATTGAACAAACACACCCAGCACACACAGCCTGTGAGCTTCCCCCTTTTCACCGAGCTGTGGTCTGATCATTAGCATGAGCCATACTTTCCTATATAACACTTAAACGGTCTTCATTTAAGACTGTACAGTTATTTTTCATTATCTAATATTGGTTTCCTTGTGTTTCCTATTTGTTAACAACTTAAAAAACCATCAAGTTAAGTAAGAATCCATACTAACGCTAACCCCAACCCCTGCAGCAATGCTCCTAATACTGTTTTATTCAAACCACTTACTGCATTTCTTCATTGCCATCAAAGAGTGTGTGCTCTTCAGGGAGAAAGGGTAATTACTGGAGCTGTGGCGTCTAATAGTGCCGTCGCCCTGATGGAAGGCTGAGAAGTGGTGTTGTTATATCAGATGAAAGGGTAACCTGAAGGGTGACGGTGTGACTGGCCTGCACGTTGCTGGTTTGATCCGTGGAAAGTGGATGAATAAATCATAGGAGATGGAGAGGAAGCATCGGTTGAGATGGGAGGGTGGTTGGTTGGTTGGTTGGTTGGTTGGTTGGTTGGTTGGTTGGGTTGCTGGATCGATAGATAAATACATAGGTATACATACATACATACACATGAGCACTTTGAGCACCAGGAAAAGCATTATATAAATAACCTGTATTATTATTATTATTATTATTATTATTATTATTATACATACATAGATACAAACATACAAACATACAAACATACATACATACAGTACATACATACATACATAGATACATACATAGATACATACATACAGTATATACATAGATACATAGATACATACATACATACATACATACATACATACATACATACATACATACATACATACATACATACATACATACATACATACACACACACATACACACATAGATGCATATAGAATCAGTTCAGAGGTTTCTTTGATCTCCAAACATACTCTACACTAGCCCCTTTAACTGCAAACCATGTTTTTCCTCCATCCTTAGTAAATGCGCCATCTACTATTTGGTTTAACCAAGGCGTTAAAACATTCAAAGACCTTTATATTCACAACACATTTGCCTCTTTCCAACA